CCAAGGCTGAACTTAGAGGCTTTTATGCTTATGACGAGTTAGTTAGATTAGAATAATAGTTTAGCTGTAGTATGTATTATGCTGCTCGAATGAAAATGTACTTTTGTTTTCAATTGATTAATACAGGTACTCAAAAAAAAAAAAAAAAATAAGTAATTTTATTTTTCTTACCAATTTACTATCTTTCGACTTCAGTTTATTGGGAAACAACCAGACATGTACATCTTTTATGTAGAAATATTCGAAAGTTCCTTTCATTTTCTCTCCATTCCACGAAATACTTTTTTTTAGTGCTGTGCAGGAAATGTCCAAACTGACGAGACTCCATTGTTTTTTCAAGCAATCCTACATGGAATCTTGCTGATTTTCTTCAATGAAGTATGGTGTTTGCGGAAGATTCCGGACGTAAGGATGAAGAACAGAGTATCTATCACACTCATTTGGAAAAAAATCAATAAACCAAACCTACCTGGAGCGACGCGACTCTAGGACAGTTTGGAATTTGGTAGCAAATGCACGTGATATTTTTTAAAAAAAAAATTTTTTTTTAGGTTGCACTGATACCTTAGATAAGATATACAGTATCTAAGTGACATTAGACATAACTTCGTATCAAGTACTATAGCATTATTATTTTATTAATTTAAGATGAAAAGAAATTCGATAAAGTCAAGAATGTTTTGAATCATAGTTTTTGCACTTTTTAGATGCGCTGAAAACGGCAGCTAATCTTAACACCGACAATGTTGACAATTAAAGAAAAAAAAAGAATAAGGAAAATAATTTCACAACAAATGCCGGTTTTGCGTCTACTCTGCATATGGTTTTAAACCTTTCCATATAAAAACTTATGATAATAATATAATTAATATATTGCTAGTAGATAAACAAAGATATTAAAATATTGCGAGAAATTTTTCAGAACTTGGATTCTAAATTCAACGTTCCTTCTTCATAAAGTCGATCGATTATATTTCGGTAACGTTTTAAAGCCGCCGGACGTTTAAGTTTAAGTCTATTGATTTTTTTAAAAAAAATTCTGAGGTTTGAATGGTCATCGTGATTATATGGAGGAGCGTAAACAAATTACATACGTAGGAGTCAAGAGATCGTTCGCAACAGAAAATGGTTCTAACTCGATATAGATGGTTTTTACGAGTTCAAACCTAAAATAAGGTTAAAAAAAAAAAAAAAAAGTAAATAAGGAAAAGACAAGGTCTATACAATTCGACGATCAACTCACCCTTTCAATCCTTCCCTTCTCCCGAAGTTGTTGATCTCTTTCAACAATCCACTTCGGACCTTTTGATTGTTTCTAAGTGCCTCCAGTAGCTTTGAGATATCATCTCTTGCAGGGAAGTTCTCGCCAAGTAGCTCCTCGGCCCATGGAATGAATGCATCCCGATGGGGCACGACAATGCCGACCAGCGTTGACCTCAGAGAATCCCCGTGAACATATATCTGAGATACTAGCAGAAATCTTTGATATACAATTTCGATCTGCACGTAAAAGGAATATGAATGAACTCCAGTAAAATAGCTTTAAAAGGTAGATGATGGTATTGTAAATATACCTTCTCGGGAGAGATATATTCTCCCTGAGCCAGCTTAAATATATTCTTTATACGATCAATAATAACCAGACACCCCCTAGAATCAATCATGCCAATATCACCGCTGCGCATCCATCCATCCTTTAATGAGCACAAAAAAAAATTGAAATTGAAAATAAATGATTACGCGAATAACTAAATATAAGCAAACATCTTTAAACTTACATCATCGATCGTTTCTTTTGTTTTCTCTGGATCCTTATAGTATCCCTTCATGACGTTCGGGCCTCGAACATGGATCTCACCTCTCGGATATGGTTTATCTTCACTTGTATATTCCATCTCCGGGACGTCGACAAGTTTTATCTCCGAACTGTAATTTATTAGGGTGCGTGTAGTGGTAAAAAAAAGAAGGAAAGAGGAATTAAACAACAACCCACCAGATAAAAGGTGGACCAACGTGAGATGCGCGTGCATCTCCTATTATTGAATTGGTCGCTAGACCCGTTCCTTCGGTCAGACCATATGCTTTAAATTTATATCGTGTAAAGTTCAAGAAGTGAGCTTTTTTTTTTTTTTTTATTTAATTTCACAAATGAAAATGCAGACAGGACGACACCTTCGATGAATGGCGAAGAAAACACAACTGTCAATAATGACTTGATCTCTGGTCCAATGGGTGCTGAGGCAGACTGTAGGACCCTCACGCGTCCTCCCAAGATTTTCTTATATTCGCTCAGTGAATGATCCCATACCGGATGCGCGACCTCTCCCGTTCTCTTCCATAATTCTAACTTTTCATCAATCGCCCTCCTAGTCATCTCTCCGGTCACATCCGTCGCATTTACATAAACCTCCATCAACGTATTATAGATCCTGTTGAATATCCTGGGCACAGAAGGAAATATCGTCGGTTTGAGTAATTGAACGTCCTCGATCAATCCATCAATTTCCCCATGGTAATATCCAATTGCAGACGCGTGAAATATGGCCTGTACCTCGCAACCTCGACCGAATATATGAGCCAAGGGTAAGTAAGATATTATCACGTCGTCCGCTTTGCCTTGCAAGGTGAAAGACAAACCAGACAACATCGCTGCATAATTTCTGTGAGTTAACATCACGCCCTTCGGAGACCCTGTAGTTCCTGAGGTGTAAGAGATGGTACTAATATCTTCAGGTTTTGGTGGATTGAATTCTCGAGGGTGATCTCTTCCGATTTTCTCGACTTGATCAAAGGTATAGAGATGGACAACCGAAGACCCAATTCGAAAGTCCTCTAGTGGATCCATGGAAATTATGACTTTCAAATGAGTTTTGGGTAATAGTTTGATGAGTTCGGTGATGTGATCCGCGGATGCGACGACAATCTCGATTTCTGCGTGTTGAAGAACGTAGTTCACGGCCTTGGGCCCAAGGGAATCATAAAGTGGAATACTTATTAAATTATATGCCGAGATTGCTTGTTCCGCTATATGAAACTACAAAATAGACGAGTAAATTTAGACCCCTTTCCATGATGATTGGTTTTCCCGATGTATAATTTTCACCTCTGGGCGATTGATACTCCAAATGCCGATCGAAAATTTATCCGATTTATTGTTCCTCAAAACGTGCTCATTCAAATACAGCAATCCACTACCGAAATTAGTGAATCTTTGAAGAACTTCCTCATAGGTTTGCCAGACGTAGTCCCCGAATCTCTTTGTCTGCTTATCGTAAGGTCTATGACCCAAGCATCTTTTGTTTCTGCTAGTCTTAAGGGCTACGAAGTAGGATGTTTATTTGTTTAAGGATGGGATGACGCTCGGAATCCTGAACGAAGAAGAAATCCAAACTTGAACTTACCGTTCTGAAAACTGTCAAACAATGTGAAGACCTTGGGACATGGATTATCATAAAGTTTGTCTGGGGAGGCAGCATTTCTGTAGACAGCTACGAAAGGGATCAAAAGTCAGACCGTAAAAACGTCGTGATAATATCCAAAATTAAAAATGGGATAAAGGACACGCGTACGGACCACTCTGTCCTGGTCTATCCGAACCGGGAACTATAACTGTTTGGCGACTGAAATCGAAGTTTTTATAAGAAGGTATAGACATCTTGTTTTTTCGAAAGTGTGTACGAATAGGCTTCTAATATACATACGCACACGCATATATATATATACATACAAAAAAGAAGTTGCGAGTTCGAGTTCGATGCAGACTATACAACACATACAATTGCATTACTAATTTTCTGGATTTATCGACTTTCAATCTCTTTCTATTCCATTCTAAAATTATATCCAATTTTTAATTAACGATTATTAAACTCTTGATCGGCACTTACGGAGTCTAGACATATTGGATATTCCCGCGGCGGATTATTGACTACTTAATTAGCTAAATTTTTTAATTATCCCACGATCCATCAGGAAGCACACTGTTTACTCACGTCATCATGATATTGATCGCTTCCCTCATACTCGCGCGTCCTCAGAAAATAACTCCTTTTGGAAAAAAGGAAAGCGTTTATCATATGTGTTTAGAAGAGCTTTGCCACGAGTACCTGACATGTTACTCAAAGTCACTTGGCTAGATTATTTTCGAAGAAAATCTATGAAATAACGAGTCTAAAATGGCATAGTTAATCTTGCGCGAATCGCCTTTAATTTTCTTTAGAACGATCTTTTGATCGGTTCATAATACTTAGCGAAAAGTTTTTTTTTTTTTGAAATATTCGGCGAACTTATCTCCGTAAACACTTATTACGTTGATTGTTTGCCCTTTTGTTTGTATATTTATCTTCCCTCCGTGGGTGCATATGAGATATAACGGGCAAATATCAGCGTTTGAATTTAAATACTACCAACCTCTCGACATATGTAATTTAATTATTATATGTACATATAAAAGAAATGAATGAAAGAAAAAAATTTTTTTTTTTTTTTTTTTAATACTTTACGACTCAAAACTTCATAACCCTGATTTATTCCTTTTATTGCAATCCTCCAGTTGTTCTTTCTCAATTTCCAACAACCTTTTTTGAGAAGTCAGAATGCTGGTCATTAACGACGACCTTTCCAACTCCCTCTTTAAAGATGCTATCTGCTCTTGAGCTTTCTTTAGTTCGTCTAACGCATGATCTCTCTCTTTGCGCATCTTTTCCATGCTCTCTTCGTGGGTCACGTTGTGTCGTTCTTGTGCCCTGAGATGGCTCGATAACACGTCCAGCAATTGTTGGGTAGAGAACTTTGGAACTAGTGACCATGACTCGTACGATGAAGGTACGCTGTCGGCTGCCACGATATTTCGTACACTCGATTGTGAATTACTTGTTGGTGAGGAATCGACCAATGTTGTTGCATTTCTTGCGGTGTCGTCGCCATCTCTTATGTCACCGTTATTGCTATTCCCTCTATTGCCAGCATCCTTGGATTTGGCGGAGGCATTTCTTGCCCGTTCTTCCTCAATTGCATTTAAAAACCATGAAGGATCCATGTCTTCTTCAGTCACCTCTAACAAGTTATCATTGTTTGATGTGTTGGTTTTTTGCATTGATGTCACCTGTTGTTGACTTGTCTCATTCTGGTTCAGCCGCAACTTTTCGGTTGCAGCCGTGGCGGCCAATGAGACTTTACCTTGAGATCGAGATGTGGCAAACATACGATCGTCATTCGTATCACGTGATTTTCGTTGACTTGATGGGATGTAGTCTGACCGATGTGATGGTAGTCTGGGGGGCAAGTATTGTGCTTCTTCCCACCGAAAATAGTTGCATTGCTCCCCCGTTTCAAACCTGGGACAAGAAAAAAATTTTCGTCCTTTATTTCGGTTATCCTTTTTAACCTCACGTAAGACGGCCAATTCTTCATGTTCACATCTCATCACCCGCAATGGTTTTCTCCTGATGGGCGTCAGCGTTCCTAGGATTGTTGGCTCACAATCTTCAGGATTTTCAACTACCATTGACAGGTCTAGGTCGCCGGAAGTCTCCTTGGCAACGGGGTTGATTGAAGAGCCTTGGTTAACGGAGGCGCTCGGACGGGTGTCTGCTATTGTTGTTTTCGTTAGCGTAAGCATGGGTATATCGACTGCTGCATTAGATGAGGTGTGTACAGCAGCGGCAGCAGTATCGGCTGTTCTCTGATATTCACTGGAATGAGAGTCATTCATTGATGACGTCTCATTAACTCCTGACTCTGTCGGTGAGTCCAAAAGAGAAATGACGGTAGCCGGGGTGTCCGTAAGTTTTAAAGACCTTGGACCATATTTGCCAGTTCTTTCATCTACATTTCTATCCATGAGAGAATTGGTATCCGTGACGAATGAATTAACCTCCTGGAGGGTTGGGCGTTGATCTTCATTGTCTGTCATTGATATATTGGGAGTCTGTGAAGACCGTCGGTCATTTGCACTCGATTTATGGGTTTCCACGTCGACATTTGGTAACGCCAGATACTGAGATGTTACCTCGAGCTGCGTTGAAGTGTTTGAAGAGGCAGATGAATCGTCGGGAAGAAATGGAGGTTGAAAAGAATCAAACATCATTGTGAAAGTTGTGTGGTGGTGTGTTGTATTTGAAGGAAAATCTAGACAGCAGACGATGAGCAACTGGTGTCAAATAAATAATGATTGGGGTAAATTGAAAATATGGATATGAGTTGAAGAAAAGGTTTAAGTCGTGAGTCAAATAAGTTGCAATTAATTCCATCAATATACTAGACGTGAGTTTTGTTGGTGAGTCGTCAAACTTGAAGACGGACAATATTTATAAGTTTTTTTTTTCTTATTTGCTGAGGGGCGTAGAATTATCAATTGTAATGCATGATACTAATAATATTATTTATTATTTTATTATATAAGGGATTTTAAAATATCAGTATAAAACGTGCAAAATGCATTACTCATTATACATTGTATGTACACACACGCAACTTACAAGTGACTACATGTTGACGCACCTCAGCCAACGGACGGTGAATTTGTTGGGTATTATTTTAGATCTGAAACCCGATTGATCCGATATTTGTAAAACAATAATAGCTTTGAAGCCCAAAAATTCGTAGACTTTTTCCTTTTTTGTCTTTTTATTGCAAATGTTTAGCTGCGGAAAGTGTGAATTGGTTTTTTTTTCTCCTGTAATCAAATGACAGTCAGTCAGTCGGTAACCGCTAGTTGAATGGAGGACGTTTTGGTACCATCTTTGAAAAAAAAAAACCAGATGGGGCATGTGTGACTGATGAAACGGATGGAGGTGTGCAGGAGCTTTTTTATATTTATTTATTCATTCTATTTTTTTTTTTTTTTTTTTTTTTTTTTTTTTAGCGCTTACGTATATTCATGGAATACTTTAAATGCCAACCCGAATCGGTCACATTGGTAACATAATTAGAAACATACGAATATTATATGGTCGGTCGGACAAGGAAACAAATAACACCAGGTTCTTTTCAAGTTCTCGTCTCGCAAAACAATGACTCGATTTAATACCGTTATGGAATATTGTGCAATATTAAAATTGGAAAAGTCGCAGGGATCAGAAAAAGGAAAAGTAAAGGATCTGGTTGCGCACTTGCGGGTAAAACTCATTTTTAGTAAGACCTGACCTTCCAAATCGGTATTCCAAACAAATCGCGCTATGCACCCCGTGGAATTCGGTTCCTCAAAGCGGTAAATCCAAATTTAACGGATTTGGAATTTTTACGGCGGTCGTCAATTTCTCAACACCGTCTCACGGGAAGAGAAATATTTACGTAGTACTTACGTTGATAGGGGCTGTCCAACATTTGATACCCGATAATCCTAATTCGTTAAAGAATGTTGGTCAAACATCTTCACCTTGTTTAACGTGTTTGTCAAAGTGCCTGACTAACAAGGCAAGTTGTGGTCCGGTTTTTTTATTACGATGACATATTATTACACCAATAGTTTGTTTCGAATAGGGTAAATTAAAAGTCCAACATCATAAGGACGAACGTATTTGTTGAGGGCTGGATTGTTGCTTTATTATTGTTACCGAGACAGAATAGTTTTAGTACCTTAAAAAGTGTTTTACAAATTATACATACGTTTACAAGATAGGAAACGCTTGATAGATTATCTCCTCTTCAACAAATATAAGTGGTCGTAAACGAGGTATTGCAACCGCACAAAATTTTTTTCGATCCAAATATAGAAAATTGTGTTAGACAGATGCAATTCTTTGATTCTAATGTTCTGCCGCAGTTTTAAATAGCCCGATCGACGAGAAAAAAGAACGTCTAGGCTGTGTACGTACGTCAGATAACAGGACACAGCATTAACCTGTCGACGCCAAATGTGTGAAATAATTGTTGTTATTGTGATTTTCCCATTATTTCCCTAAGAATAAGCCACTGAATAGGCCATGCGCAGGCATTTGACCGTCACCGAGATGACTAGTCTGATATTAACTTTAAATTTTAACAAGTGCCAGGTATGTCTCCTTGTTTGAAATCTTGGCGTGCACGCACCATACAGAGGCTTTTTCTACTGCCTCTTCGGATGTGAGTCGGGTTTTCGATGGTTGGTCTAGATTAACTCGGGTGCTTTGCTCATGGTCATTAGGTCGGTGGCTTACGAACGTAAACGGAGAAAGTCACCCGATGTCTAATAATATAATCTCATTGTTTTCATTTTCGGATGCTTTATTTGAAACCGTATATCGTTTTGAACAAGGTAATAATGATAACAATCGACACAAAGAAATCAGCTCATATATAATTAATAAAAAAAAAGAAAAAAAAATATTATTATTATTATTATTATTATTATTCTGCTTTAGTTCAATAAAGTAACGAATATTTAAATATCCAAGACAAAAATGGAAGCAAGAAATTTTTTGATTTCTTTACTATTCTGTTTGAAAATATCTTCGTGGTTGCCTGTTATTTTTTTTTCTTTGAAAAATTTTGGTTACAAGCAATTCAATTGTTTTTTTTTTAAAAAAAATTTTTTTTAAATGTTAAATTAAAGAATTGTTATAATTTTTTGTTCCATTTATAAGAAATTCAACACTGGATCATTCATTATTACAATTTTTAAAAAATTTTTGAAGATTGAAAGTACAATTAATTATTCCTGCTACTATTTTCTTTTCATGGATTCCAAAATATCTAGATTTATTTTTTAAGCTTTGTTATATCATTTTTGTTAATATTAAAAAATATTTATATCTTTAATATTATATATAACTATGGTTATAATATTTCCTATAGATGAATTGAAAATATTATTTTAATAAATAAATAAAAAAATTTTTTTTGAACTTCATTAATAATATTTTGATTAATTCTATAAAATAATCTAATAACTATATTATTTTTTTTTTCAATTCACAATTGTGTTATTATGATATATCTTTTTTATTGTGATATTAAATAAATATCTACAATTTATAAAGATTAAGTAAAAGAAGCATGAAACAATGAAATAGATGGAATTTTTGAAGACTTTAAAAAACTTTTACAAGAAATAAAAAAAAAATAAGGAGAAAAGCAATAGGCTAATTATAATACTAATCGAAATTATATCATTTGGTTGCTAAATTATTGCTGAATTTGACAAAATATAATAATAATAAAAAGATTAATGAATCATTTACAATTGCTATCACTTGGTGTAAAAAATATTGACAAAAAATTTTCAGTATATAGTGA